CGGCGCATCTGGTTCTTCCAAACGTCAAGAGTCTCCTGTTCAATTAATGGGAGCGTAGTACACCAGCGCGACATGATCGCGCCGTCTTTGAGTAGCAAGTTTCTCTCGCCAGTCATAGAGTTTCGACCGAAGGAGCTCTCTTGAACGGTGGGTGCGAAAATCTTCCTCTTGGCGCAGAAGCCTTGTATACAGTCCTCGCGAATTTAAGGTCAATCTCGCCAACGTCTCACGTTTTACACGCTGATCGTGAATTCTGCTCATCAGACGAACGCGCGCCATCAGTACCCATTTATACAACGCTTGCATAACGACACGCTCGTTGATGCGAGAGGAAAGAGCTAGACAGCGCAGGTTGTCGTTCCATGTGGTCCATGTATTGCGCATAATACGGAGACGGTCAACTTCTCGTGCATGTTTCGACATGCGCGATTGCAACGCCCATGTCTTGATGGAGGAGTGGAGGATTCTCGATTCGACTGAAGCAGAGACTTTGACGGCGATGGGTTTTAAGCGAGTTCGAATCCGCCATTCCGAGAAACAATGCCCGGTATGTTCAAGCTTCCACCGGCTATCGGCGTGTTGTTGAGCCGAAATAATGGCGCGCATCCGTTGGGACCATTTCTGGAAAGTCGCCTGAAGCAAAGTCTGTTTGTTGTGCACGTCTATCTCTTGGTCACGCTCCCTTTGGGTTCGCAATGCCCGAAGCCACGAGAGAAGTGACTTATGTTTCAAGCGATAATCTCTCCACTGAGGGGCACGTCGATCGCAGAATGTCCAAAACCACTTCCAATACGCAGATCTTGCAAGGTTTTCCTGATAAACAACATCAGCCTCGGCATCGTCTTTCTGGAACTGTTTAAATTTAGTCTTCCAGGCCTTGAATGGCTTCGTCAACGCAAGTCGTTGAGCCTTCATCTCATTTACCGCGGTTATCCCCCGCCACGCATTGAAATACTTTATGCATAGAATATGTCGTCGGGCTTCGGACGCTTTCTCTACCTCATCCGAAGTAACTTGTGCCCAATGAGTAAACGCTTTCGTCATTAAATATAGATCTCGAGCTCGCGCAGCACGCTTCTCAAGATGTTTAAAGAATCTTGCCGTCTGGGCTTCTTGGCGTTTCTGTCGCCATGTGGCTCGCCAAATGTCAAATGCCTGACGCTGAAGGGTAGATGCATCATGCTTGGCAGCTGCCTTTTGCATAGACTCGAAGGTTTGTTGTTGTCGCTTAGCTCGCTCCGACCATTTAGCAAATATTCGTCGGACAGTACCTCGTTGTCGATACATGTTGAATGTGGACGCATCGCGGAGAAGGTGAGAAAGAGAAGGCTGGTATATTAGTTCTGGGGGTACTTGAACTCCGGGTATAAGACCGCCATGTTGGAAAGGCTCATCATTAGATTCCTCGCTGCTATCAAATAATAACCGCTTTTGATTAGTGTGGTTTGTTGTTTTATTTTCATTCACACCATGATTCAAATGATGCGCATCTAAATCCACTCCCAATTGGGCCGGTTCGGTAATAATTGCACCAGTCTGCGGTTGGCGACGAGCAGTGTTCTTTGTAGCTCTGTTGGCTGTCATCCTGCTTCTCGTTTCCACAATGGCCGGTGCATGTGCATGTCGAGCAAGCTCCTCTCTCCTGATTGGGGGCGGAGAGAAAATTTTCCTTCCGACTTCCAACCTTGACACAGACGATCTTGAGCTGGGTCGATACATACTCCTTTGTGTAGTTTCATTGGCAGCATCGTACATTGAATTGAACGACGCCCGTCTGGCGCGCTGTCCCCCATGGACCGGATACCGAGTCGGCTGCCATCGGCCGGTATTTTTTTCCTCTGCCAGTGCACCATTGGCTTCTGTATCCGCGGTGGTGACTTCTTCGATTCTTCCCCCTTCCCCTCCTGTCTCGTCCCCGTACTCGAGCTCAATGCCCATGCGCAGCAAAAGGGTCTCGAATTTTTCATACAGCGTATCACCTGGCACCGACTTGCCTCCAAGCTGGAATAGAAAGCGCAGATAAGTCCGATCGGTTTCCGCCTCGATGCCATTTTCCGATAACACGGAATCATACGCTGCGAATATAGCGCGAAAGGGGAGTCGGTGAGCATCGGGCTGCTTCTCTGCGCGAGAGACGATTTGGAGGAGGATATTGACATCTACGTTTCCACCGAATCAGCGACATACCTCCATTGAAATACCTTCTGAGAAAGGGGGAGGGGGGAGAGCGCCGACCTTGATCTGAAAGGGACAGTTGCTCGTCCAGTTCGACTTGGTGGCCGCGACGTGGATACATCGAGCGTTTCGCGACCTATGGCGCGTTGTTTGATACATAGAGGCGATACGAAACACCTACGCAGATCGCAAGAGCTCAAGGACAAAGGTGGGAGGACTCAATAAGCAGCCACATTTCCAGCACATCAAATTGTCACAAGCTGGATTCTGTCGCGGGACAACATCAATATACTCAGTTACTATGGCGGTCAACTACATTTATGTGGTGCTTGTTCTCCTGCCAACGCGCCTGGTAGCTTATGTAAGCCGAGCCTCGACCAATCCTTTGACGGCGAAAAAACCTTGGAAGGTCCAGTGGTGATGCGGGCGATACCTTGCAGGATCCTCCCGGGAGAAGTGCGGACAATACAATAATTATCGCGGGTCCCTCTTATCCGCTGCGAATATGACCGGGCGAACGAGGCCAATTGAGAAGTTTGCCAAAGCTACCGCCCAGTGCTCTGCTCAGGTTCGTACACAAACCATCCCAAAGCCATGAAAGCTAGCATAAAATCACTCGCTGATCCCAGTGCTACAGGCCTCCGTGTACGGCAAATGTGTCTTCGCTGATTATAATGCGATCCGAAAGGATATGTGCGCAAAGGAGTTTATGAAGCTAAAGGAATGCTATCTGGTATAATCTACATTCTGAACCCCATGTCCGATGCAGAAACCTAATCTGTATACAACACAGGCAGCGGCTAAGAAGCCTTGATAACGGGCAACTGGTTTGTAAGATGGAATGGCATACCGTTACTTTAATATGAAAGAACTCGCAGAAATATGGCAATATGGTACCCCGGGTTATCCCGGTTTTTACATGTAGAATAGCGGAATCAATTAGTTTTGGAAGGAAAAAAAAATCATCCATATCTACGCTGTAGAAAGCACCCTGACGCTGACGACCCTTTCAACTTCACAATAACCTGAAAAACCACAGAATCCAGCTTCCATGATGAAAACCCCGTTAGGCTTCTTTATTTTGCTTCAAATATCTCTAACTACAACTTCACCAGCCGAAGCAAGAAGGTCGCTTTTTGTACCTCTTGCTCTTCTTCTAAAATGATCCCCTCTTCCTCGCCTTCGGGTGCCCTCCCTTCGACCTCTGTGACTATATGTTGGTCGATCGGTCTACGCAGCGCTTTTTCAATCGCCTTCGACTGCGTCTGGAAAACGCGCTCGATGCCGACATTGTCAGGGTCAGAGAGAACCCGATACTCCATCCCCACGTCGTCAGTTGGAACCAACCCCGCCTTTTTTCGCAGCCGCTGGACTCGGTTCACGATTTCCCTTGCTAGACCTTCCTCAGCTAACTCAGGGTATAAAACTGCGTCCAGGATGATAAGTACATCATCATCTGTATTCGTTTCAAAGTCTTTGGAAGATGCGTCGTCTTTCAAGCCGCGCCTGATTACCAGATCCCCGTCGACAAGCTCAATGCCATCAACCACCATCTTCTTGTCAGTGACGAATCGCTTAACATCGTTACTTGAGAGCAATGGTAGCGCTTTCTTAACCTTTTGAGCATCTTTCTTCAATTTCTTGCCTAGAGTGGGCCAATCTGCTGTGACACTGTACTGGACATTGTACTTATCCTCATCGGATGAGAGAACCAGATCCCGGATATTAAGCTCTTCCAGAATGTAGTTCTCTAGGGATCTCACATCATCGAGATATTGTTTTTCCTGGTGGATCACAACGAGCGTCTTCAGGGGTGACTTGAGGCCAATGCTTCTGCGTTCACGTGCAATGCGACCAAGCTCAATCACCTTCTGCATCCTACCGACCTGTCTCTCAATGACATCATCAAAAAGTTCTTCACGAACCTCAGGGAAAGCTAGGAAATGGACGCTGCGGCTATCCTCGGCTTGAAGGGATTTTGGTATATGAGGAAGGAGTCGAAGGTATATATTATCGGTGATGAAAGGAGTGAAAGGTGCGAGGCCGCGGACTAGGGTATAAAGGACCTCAAAAAGGGTATTTAACGCGTGTAAAGTGTCGTCCAACCCAAGTTCCCCCTTCAGCCTCCTACGGTTGAACCGAATGTACCAGTTGGTGGTGTTATCGATCAATCCTAGTAGTCTCGGAACAACAGTATAAAGCCGGTACCCAGCCATTTCTTGATTGACAAATTTGAGTAGACTCTGACAGCTTGCCAGAATCCAGCGATCCATGACATTCGTGTTGGTCGCTTCCGCCGCTGGATCGAACACATACTCCACGTCCTCGATCTTTTTCAGCAGCGCAACCTGAGCTTCGAAGAATTTGTAACTATTCCACAAGGGGAGCAGAACTTTGGCGACAATTTCTTTGACACCTGATTCCTTGAATCTTAAGGGCTCTGCGCGAACGACTGGAGAGTTAATGAGGTAAAGCCGAAGCGGGTCAGACCCATAGCGATCCATAATGAGAGTTGGGTCTGGGTAATTTTTCAATCGCTTTGACATTTTTTTGCCGTCTTCAGCCAGTACAATTCCATTCACAACACAGTTCTTGAATGGCAGCTTTCCGTACAGGTGCGTGCTAATGACAGCGAGTGTATAAAACCAACCTCGGGTCTGATCAAGGCCTTCCGCGATGAAATCACCCGGGAACGACTTCTCAAAATGTTCTTTGTTCTCAAAGGGATAATGCTGGGAAGCATAGGGCATACTTCCGGATTCAAACCAACAATCAAGCACTTCCTCGACCCTTCGTAATACACCCTTCCCTTGCTTGCTTGGGATAGTGATGTGGTCAATCTTATCGCGATGGAGGTCGGTGAGTTCACCAGTATATCCACTGAGCTGTCTGAGCTCCTCAACGCTGCCAATAGCTATAATTTCTTTGTAATCCTCACTGGCCCACAATGGAATCGGAGTTCCCCAGTATCGATTTCTCGAAATGTTCCAATCCCTTGCATTCGCAATCCAACTTGCGAATCGTTTGTCTTTGACAAAGGAAGGGACCCAATAAGACTCCCTCTATCCCTTGAAGCATTTGGGGGAATAATGGGACCTATTTTGACGAACCACGAAGGCACTGCTCTATAGATCAAAGGAGTATCAGATCTCCAGCAGAATGGATAGCTATGCGTGATCTGGGCATCCACGACAAGGCGCCCAGCTGCTTTCAGGTGTTTTACAATCGCTTTATCTGCTGCTTTGACATGTTGACCAGCAAAATCTCGAACCTCTGAGGTAAAAAAGCCTCTCTCGTCGACCGGGTTTGGCGGCAACCGCGTATCAGTAATGATGCCATTCTCAACAGCCACGTTGTAATCTTCTTCGCCGAACGCTGGAGCTTGATGAACTAAACCAACACCATCATCTGCAGTGACATACGTCGCGTTGAGAACTTGAAACCCTACGTCCTTGAAACTCTTCATAGAAATAGTCAAAAAGAGGTTGGTATCTCCATCCTTTCATAGCTGATCCCTTGAAGCGCTCGAGAACTTGGTATTTCGCCTTTTTAAGGTCTTTATATAGAGTCTTGAGCAAGGCCTCGATGAGTATATAATTACTTCCGGACACAACATCATGGATCTTAACGTATTCAAAATCGGGATGTGCTGCAAGCGATGTATGCGATGGCAAAGTCCACGGCGTAGTTGTCCAGGCGAGGAGCTTTGTTTGCGGATCGTCGAGGAGCGGGAATGAGACGACTATTGCAGGATCCTGTACATCTTTATAATTTTGTTGTGCCTCAAAGTTACTCAATGGGGTGTTAAGAGCTGTAGAGTAAGGCATGACTCTGTAACCACGATAGATCACCCCTTTGTCGAATAACTGCTTCACTATCCACCAAAGGCTCTCCATATATGAAGTATCCATAGTCTGCTCCAGAAGAAGTGTCAGTCATTCCTTGGGCTTCTAGCCACAATGCAAAATATTACTCAAAAGATACGGGAAGCATATAGAGGGAGAGAGGAGGAGAGAGAGAGAGAGGGAGAGAGAGGGAAGGAGATAGATGGTCATGTACCTTGTAATCATTGTCAAAATCGATCCAGCGACCAAGCCTATCAATAGTCTGCCTCCATTCTGCAGCAAACCTCATGACAACCGCCCTGCACTCTGCATTGTATTTTCCCAGACCTAGTTTTTCCACCGCTTCGGATCCAGACATGCCCAGGGTTTTGTCGATTTCGTATTCGATCGGAACTCCATGAGTATCCCAACCAAATCGTCGTTCGACATAACGTCCCTTCATAGACCAATATCTTGGAATGATGTCTTTTATAGTAGACGCTAACAGGTGGCCGTAATGTGGAAGTCCTGTCGCAAAGGGCGGTCCATCATAGAACGTATACGGGGTTCTTCCTCGAGACAGTTCGACCTGTCTCTCAAAAGCACCAATTTCCTTCCATCGCTTGAGGAAGACCTCTTCTTCCTTTGGAAAGTCAATCGCCATGGCAGAGCCGGTGCCTTGGAAGTAATTTACTGCGGTTGCTTTCTCCAACGCGTGGTGGGGAGAAGTCGGTGTTTTCAAGGTTATTGTGTGAGTCAAAATCGTTGAGTTACCCCGCTACATTGATTTTCCGGTGGTGGAATGACATGTCATGGAGGGGTCATTTTTTACATAGAACAAAAGACATACTTATTTAGTGTCATAAAACCGGTCATATATCATGAAACCTGACATATATACAAGCAATCATGTCATTTAACTAAAATACTTGAAGTTTACATTCAAACTAGTACAACTTGCTGTGTGGAGGTATCATTAGTTTCGACCGGGTGTAAAAAGCTATGTAAGATAATGAATTGCCCAAGCAGCTTCTGAGACCTAGTCCTCCCCGTCGTCTTCGTCATCATCGTCGCCTTCTTCCATTTCGGAGACCTCTTCGCCGAGGTCCTTCAAGCGTTTCTATAGCTATGGGTTAGCCCACGTCTTTTATTGAGTAGCTCTGTAGTGCTTACCTTGTCCTGGTTGCGCTTCATTTCCAAGTCACTGAAAACGATCAATAGATCCTCCAGCTCTCCCTGTACAGCTTTCCGAGCTTCTTCCTTCTCTTTTAACTCAATCTTGGATGCTTCTAACGCAGCCTGTGCGGTTTTAAACTTTTCTTCAGCCTTTGCGGCACGTTCGCTAGCTTCCTCAATGCGATCTTCAGCCCGTTGATTCCGTGCTTCCAATGAGGAAAGCTTCGAAGAATACTCCTCGTGAGCAGTTTGGAGGTCCTGAATATGATCTTTGCCCGCTTTCTCAAGACTTGCCTCAAGATTCTGAATGGTCTTTTTCAGATCCGCTACTTCAGCCTCATGTCGTTTACGTATCTTTGCAGCATTCTTTTCATGTTCTGCGGATGTCTGCTTGAGCTGTGAGTCTATGGTTCGTAATTGTTCTCCGTGCTGTCGGAGTAGGTCGTTGTAAGACTGTTTGTTCCGTTCCTCGAGCGTCCTCAACTCCTCTTCATGGTTCCTCTGAAGCGTTTCATTGAGATGCTTTACTCTATTAAGCTCAAGGGTAGTTGAATCTTTCGTCTTTCTATGATCCAGTTGCTCCTGTTCTAATTTCCGCTCTAGAGTCAGTAGATCTGATTCGAGCTTTTGAATCGCTTGTGCCTTATCTTCCACTTGAGCTCGAAGGGTATCTACCAGCTCGCGAGATATTCCCTTCTGGACGCCATTAGCGATGATGGGCACCTCGAACCCTGGGTCGCGGTCAATAGCACGGATCAGGCGGCTGAAGTTGTCTTTCAGGAAATCGATGAACGTTTTATCGAAGTATACCTCAGGTAGTCCATCATAGGCAAGTTGTGATGACTGTGGGAGAACTTCAAAATCTCGGACTAACGACAGCTCACGAAGTTTTGTGATCTTATCGATATATTGTTCCCTTCCCAACCCGTTCATTAAAAGCCGATGTAATGTAGGGCGCGGTATTGGAGAGTCCTTAGTCGAGAATTCGTAGATGATCCCAAGCAGAATAGCTGAAAGGCCTGGGAGCAATGGCTTGGATGGAGTACTCCGACTCGTTTCCTGAATAAGCCTCTGAACAATGCTTCCCTCACCAAGGAAATCATCAACAACGTCGAGGTCCTCATACAGCCAACCACAAAGAAGCATTAAATATCCCACGGAGATCCGTTCATCGTCATTCCTTTGCATGCCAGTTATGAGATTTCCTGCTATGACTTGAACACAAGTAATAACTTCCTCACCACTCGACTCATCTCCTTCCGTTACTTTCATAGCAAGAGCTTTTGCTTCTGGGTCCTCAAAAACCAAATGGAACAGTAAAATAGCGGCCAACCAGGTTTGATACGGGTCAGCGTTCCCTCTGCTAGCTAATGGCTGGAGAAGGATTGTAAAGATATTCGCAATTTGGTCTTCTCCACTGGTATGTCCATCGATTGCTCTGCGCAGAAAATGGAGCCGAATTCCAGAATGGTTTGATAAAAAAGCTTTGACACACTCACAAGCAGCGAGCCTCGCATCGAGAAAATGAGCTGACTCTGACTCGAGAGTTAACTCCAGAAGTGCCTCGATCACATTGATCTTCTCGTGCGTACTTGCATTTGCCCCGTTTGTAAGCGGTTCTTTGTTTGGCTGAGCCAGCGTAGGTCCAACTGAGACATCTATATCCGCAAACTGTTCTTGTAAAATTGAATTTCCGCGTATTAAATCTGCGCACACAGATAGAGCCTAGGACTCGTGTTGTTAGAACGAAGCAGTATTAAGTCAAGAACAAAATAGCATACCTTCGTCCTAATCTTAATATCAAAACTTGTATTGAAAGCGGTACGAAGAGCCTGCTCCATAACCCCATTCTGCCAGAATGCCGATTGATTGACGGGTGTACTGATTCCACCCTTAACAAGGAATAGCTGAACTATTGCCAAAAGTCCCCAAAGGTTCTTATCTCGGTGCTCCAATGCCCACTCCGAAATGCCATCTTCCTTTTCTTGCTCTCGGTTTGCCTCAGAAAGGAGTGCTCCAAGCTTCTTTACACAGCCGGTCTCACGGAAATATGATTGGTTGGAAATATTGAGCGCAAGTAAATTTCCCAGAAGTGACAAGCAGTCTGCAACAACCGTTGACCCATGCGTTAAAGAACCCTCGGTTTCTATTAAGGAAAAAATACGTTCGAAGGCGTTCTCGAAAGCCACTAGCTTTTGGAGTTCCGCGGATGATGGCGTCAATGCGATTAAAAGGACAAGGGCCTCTTTCCTCATAGATTAGCATGACACATTTCAATGACAACAAGAAAATAGGAGATACACAAGGAACAAAACGCACCATTGCGCACCGGTTCACGAGCGTCACTCAGAACATTAACTAGCCGTGATATCCCTAATGGTGCCGTAAAAATACACTCTTGGGTTCTCTCTGGGCGTGCGCTTGATATATATGACATCAATTGAAGGGAGTACAACCGAGAGTAGAATTCCTTGGAGTCCAAGAGATCGAGCAGGATTGTTATGTTGTCTTGCCGCTGTTCAACGATGTCAACATACTTGAAGTTAACCGGCTTGTATTTGACTTACTTGAGTAAACTCATCGGCAAGCCAAAGTGCAATTTCATCAGATGCTTCGGGCTGTTATCGAATACAGTTAGCAACCTAGGCCTTAAAAACAAGCGATATGGACAACACCTACACTATTATCATTGGGGGAAAATAACATCAGCAATGTCTCTAAGACCACCTTAATAGTATCAACATCTTCTGCATCTTTTCTCAAACTGTTTATTAATGGACGAAGTGCACCGGATGAAACAGATGCAGGGTATTCCTTAGCAAAACTCCGAAGACCCAAAATAGCTGCTCTGCGGTCCTCCAGCAATGTCGCACTCTGTAGCCGATTGCTCAGAGTATTAATTGTATCCGTCGCCGTCTGCCTGGCCGGAACTTGGGACTCGAGAATTCGAAACATGGCACCGTGTTGCTAACAAATACGCATTGTCGCCAGATGCTGAGGGCCGTAGAGTTCGCAAACATTCAGCCTGTAAGGTTGTATTGAGCTTCAGGGCTTCAGACAAATTTCAACAGACTGCCCACGCAACGCCGTCCGTCCCCTCACCGCGTAGCTGTATCAGGGAGACAAGCAGATTGTAGCCAATGCCACAATACATGCGGTCTCGAGTTCGAGCTTGATTGCTGTCGAACACTTGTCACCCTGGCCAGTTGGATATCACGTTATCTGCGGAACTTTGTTTGTCCGGAAGGCTGAAGATTGCTTCAAAATCTCAACCTTAAATTCTAAAATCATTGGCAAACATCAAACCTGGGAACTGGCTTGGAATTTGTTTCTTACTGTCATTTTCTGTGTTGCTTATATAGAAGCGCCGTTTATCCATGGTTTCCCTGACATATATATCCGTTTGCGAACCATACATTTTTGTCGCAGCTCCCTCAAAGCCCCAGCCTCGCGAAGCTCGCAGCACGGCAGAGCCGGAAACGATAGAGAGAATATAGACATTTTACCTTCCAGAGTAGGAAACTACTCATTACCGTTGATATGGGTGTTCCAGCTCTTTTCCGGTGGTTATCTTCGAAGTATCCTAAAATTATATCCCCTGTTGTCGAAGAAATCCCGCAAGAAATCGACGGCGAAGAGGTACCAGTAGATACAACGAAGCCAAATCCAAATGGCGAAGAGATGGACAATCTATACTTGGATATGAATGGAATTGTCCATCCATGTACTCATCCTGACGGAAAGCCTCCCCCTGAAACCGAGGAAGATATGATGCTGGAGATCTTCAAATATACCGATCGAGTCGTGAATATGGTCAGACCTAGGAAACTATTGATGATTGCTGTTGGTACGTCCGGCTGACATATATGGAACTGAAATATCCCCCTTCGGACCAATCTATTATCTCGTCATGATGATCTGTTGTCGCGGAGGGTGTACAGCTTTCCATTCCCTTATTATTTCCTTCGCCGCCCTTCCATACAGTTGTGAGCTGGCCTTGCTAATGTTAATCTTTCGGTTCTTCCCAGACGGTGTTGCTCCACGTGCTAAAATGAACCAGCAACGTTCTCGTCGATTCCGTTCTGCACAAGAAGCAAAGGAAGCGGACGAAAAGAAAGAGGAGTTCGCCAAATTGCTAAGGAAACAAAATGGAAGCAAAGGAGGCGAGGGGCTAGTAGAGGAAGTCATTACGAAGACATGGGACTCCAACGTAATTACTCCTGGAACACCCTTTATGGACGTTCTTGCTGCAGCGTTACGCTACTGGGTGGCATATAAACTCAACACTGATCCCGCATGGGAAAATGTTAGTACGGCTCTTTTTTAATATAATTTATTCCTATCGAGCTAATCGTATACAGTTGAAAATCATTATCTCAGATGCCACAGTTCCTGGTGAAGGTGAGCACAAGATTATGGAATTCATTAGATCGCAAAGATCGTGCGCCGAGCATGATCCAAATACTCGTCATGTGATATACGGTCTTGTAGGTTTCCCTCACTTTTGCGAATTGCAGAGTGGCAGCTAACTTCTGTTTGTAGGATGCTGACTTGATTATGTTGGGACTTGCGACGCATGAACCTCACTTTCGAGTTCTTCGAGAGGATGTCTTTTTCCAAGAATCTAAAGGGAGAACTTGCCACTTATGTGGACAAACTGGCCATATAGCCGAAGCATGTAAAGGTACTGCGAAAGAAAAGAATGGAGAATTTGATGAAAAAGGAAAAGGAAGTCCGCTCAAACCATTTATTTGGCTCCACGTCTCCGTCCTTCGTGAATACCTTGCTGTTGAGATGCATGTTCCCCAGCAGCCTTTTCCTTTCGATTTAGAGAGAGCTCTAGATGACTGGGTATTCATGTGCTTTTTCGTGGGAAATGATTTCTTACCTCATCTACCCTCATTAGACATCAGAGAAAATGGCATCGATACTCTAATTGCAATATGGCGTGACAATATACCTGCCATGAACGGCTATTTAACAAAAGATGGCCATGTTGATTTAGGCAGGGCCCAACTGATTTTGCAGGGACTGGCGAAGCAAGAGGATGCTATCTTCCGCCGCCGTCGCCAAACCGAAGAAAGAAAAAACGCGAACCCCAAAAGGAGGAAGGAGGAAGAAAGATCTCGAGAAGAAGAAAGATCCCGAGAGGAAGAGCGCTCGCGCAAAAAGCGCAGAAGCTCTCCTAATTATGGATCTATGGAAAACGAACTCGTTCCCCCTCCTCTCATTGTTCCTGGAAAAGGGCACTACCTCTAGGGCTGATAGAGAACTTACGCACTCCCATGG